CCATGGAATTAGTTAAACTACCCGGGACCTCCATATCATGTTATAGGTTCGCGACGCCTATACATGATGGTGTAGCGGTGTTATGTAGTCATAGAAACATGTGGGCTATACATATTTATTAGTTATATATACATAGAATAGAGAGAGGGTATTGAGGGGGCAGCCGAGGGGGTGAGTGGACAGACGACTGACTCTTCCTCCAGTATCCATCCTCCGCCCATAGGCGTTGTAACATCCATCGTAAACCTGGGTGGCACGGCTGGTGACCTCCGCGCTGCACTGACCATTCCACGAGGACACGACAGATCATTCGGAACAAACTTTGCCTGATTTTCTTGTTCCGAGTTACGAGGGATGGGCGTGGCTGCGTACTTCTGGAGAGGTGTTTTCATTTTGACAAAGTTGTGGTCGTATCTTTAATAAACACCGAACAAGATGATAGTTGTCTCGAATTAAAAATATTTCACCAGTAACCATTTTGGGCCATGTTCAAATGCCACGCCCACTCTGTCTCAGGGATAAGGAGTGTACTTGTAGGACCCGCTATTTATCCACGCGAAATAGTACACCGCGTTGTCAGAAGTGTAGTGCTTAGTCGAGAAATTAGCTACTTGATGGTCGAAATAGTTGGTTATACATTGATCTTTGATTGAGTTCCTCTCGAAGTATAGGTATCGCTTGCGCAAGCTAATATCGTCGAGACAACCGCTACCACCACGAGAGCCACTAAAAATCTTGTCATCCCGCATAACCCACCGAATCGCACTTTCATTCCAAAGCGAATAGAGGATTTACGAACCGAACAAATTGTTGTTTTGCTTGTTCTCAAAAGCCATATAGCACGCACCCACAATAGAATAGAAATAGAAAGATAAAGTAAAGCAGGTGAACTAGTGTGCTCAGTAACGAGTCAGTTGGGTCAGTCTGGAGAATATATGAAGGACGGCGACTAAAAGTTGTTGAAGGCAAAGAATGGCAAAATGCTATAGATGGCCAAGTTATAACAGTTCCCGCACAAGTCATAGCATACATGACGTGGACCACGGTAGCAGCATAGAGTACGCAATTGCACGGCGTGATTGGTGGTATTTATAGGTAACGTCCCCTCTTGCATACCTCCCAGTTACCACATAATTAACACGTCTTAATATATCGGTTAAATCAACGACATATCCATGACGTCGATTTTTCTCACAGCTTACAGATGAGTCACATTTTTGTGCTGCCGTTACCATCTATTCAAACAGAGCTCGCCTTCTGCGTCTCTGATCAGAAACGTTCGCTCTCCCTCTCTGCGCTCTGACTATCGCCTCACGAATGGTTCATTGAGGGCTGCTTCCATTACTCGCGATCATGTGGTTTTGTAGTGTCCATTGTCATAATTATGAGAACAGTTGGCAAGAGGTAATCAAACCTGGATTATTCTTTCAGTCCACTAAATTCACTTACCTATCTTTACTCTTATGTTTCAGTCAATATTCAATAGTGAAACGGTGAAACTATAATTTGAATGACTGTAAAGAAAAAATAGCAATAGAAAGGGATGAAGCTAGACATCGGTGTGAGCTCCATCTGCCGTATAAAGTCGACTATTGGTCCTGTTCATGATACATGGCTTGATTGATGTGCATGGGCAGGGGATGACTCAGTTATCACCACGAGTCCACCTCGTTGTGATAACTGTGCTGAAAGTTTGATTAATTCTTTTCCACATACAAACGTTCCGCTTTTACTAGATTGTCGATTCATCATTGTTGATGTCTGTTTCGCGCCGCGTAGTACCCATCGAGTTCGTTCTTTTGCCGTCTGTTGGTTGTAATTGTATTGTGATACTCTTGTAGTTGGATGCGGAACAGCATCTATTATGGAAAAAGCGAAAAAAGATGTTGGACAGAAATTCCGTCGTATTAAACATAATCTTGTAAAGTGAGTTTCTTTACTTTTACCTATTTGTAGGTCGCGTATAAAATGACTCCCTGGAACGAGAGTGCTCGCCTTGTCACCTTATATTTTTAATTTTCGGCGCTCACCTAGTTGAAGGGGCAAGCGATCGAGGCCAGAATCGAGCATCACGTTGAGGAAAACTGGCCCATCGTTACAAAGAGGGGTGGGGGTCTTACTGACACGCAGTTTGAACGAGGTGCGGGCGTTTCACGATACTTGTCAACCTCGGTGCCCCCATACTCCTCCTTTTCCTTCTCCCTTCAACTGCTGGGCCAGTAGATGGGATGGGAAATTACCTTTGGGCCTTGTAGCGAGAACATTACCGGTTCACAAGAGTCCTCTTATCGGTTTCCAGTCTTTCAGGAACCATATCTTCGGTAAAACAGGACTAGAGGTAAAACGAAAAAGGAGCTGAAAAGTAGAAGAACTTGCCTTTCTAACAAGCACGAAAGCTATCATTAAAATCCTTTATTCAAAAAACGTGTCGTTGAGGGTTTTCCTAAATAGCAATGAAAACTACTTGAACACGCGAGTTTTCAGCATTTGGGGGACTATGACTTCGGGAATGAGGCGGAGGTGGTGTAGTGACAAAGGCACGCTTACCACTCCGTGCGGTCCCCGGGTCGACTCACGTCCAGACCCCAAGCCTTCTATCCTCTGGGAACGGCAAATTGGTACCAGTTCGTCTGGGAGGATAAGAAACTGACTTGCACACTAGCTGGTCCCGTCAGTGTACACGCTATCACATCCATTAAGCCACTACGATTCTGAATGGAAGTAGAATGCGTGCCGCATCCCACAAAGGGATTGATCAACGGCGAAGACTTTATCCTTTATTCTTCTTAACTCCGACTATGCAGGACCCAGGGCAGAACAAAGCCAGGGCTCCAAGATAGATTTTCCTTTTCTACAGCAGAGCCAAATACGACCCCTCCGACAAGCACTCCTCAACCGATGCTTGAGCTGATCGCGGCAGGACATTTTTGATTGGTCTCGGTTTTCCTCTGTCCTGGAGGACCCTAGAAGACCGCGGACAATCGGATTCGCCCCGGCCTAGTGTTCCCGCGTGCCCATTTGACAGAAACATTTCGGGCGCCACACAGGGACCACTACAAGACTATGTTAACCTGTACAGTAGAATGCAATTTTGAGGAGGGGAAAGGGGCGACGCGGTAGGTGGCCTGCTGTGCACTTTCCGCTGTTCACTCTGACACGTCCGGTACCCCCCCCCCCCCCCTCGGAATTGCAGTCTAATATATTACTCACCCAAAACTGCAGAATGGCCCCTAACGAAAACCGCTATAAATAGGCGAAACATAAGTTGGAAAGTGTGCATTGAAGTCAATGCACATCCAGTCCAGTGTTGATATCCAAGTTTCATTGTGTTCTTATCGATTCTTATAACTGACGATAATCGTTATTGCTCTTTTTTCCAGCTCGAGCAAAATAGATGATGATGACCTGAAGATCGTCAATGCCCTTGAGCATCGAAATCAAAAAGTCATCAATGCTGTCTCCATATATCGAAAGCACGTGTCAAATACAGTTAAAACTGGTCTTCGGGAGGAAAATGTGGACAAGCGCCGGGTACGTGGTTCAATATTAGTTTATTGGAAAAGTTTGGAGACTTTTAAGTGATTGCACGCGGATATTTTCGATGTTTTCACAGCATAATCTTTTACTTTCCTCTTGTTCTGCTTGGTTGTGTGAAAAGTTTTCCCGTTTTGGTTTTTAATATGATTTTTGCAATGGAATTACATTACACGGTTTGGTTGCGTTCAGTTGCGCAATTTCTTGCGAACGTACTGATGTACTATTTGCATATACTTGATGAAGCTATCTTGAGGACAAATGACCTTGGTACTCATGCACGAGTGGCGCGTAGGAGAGAACTTCGGCCCGAACATGTCGTATCTATTAGACTTTACTTCTCTGAAAGTGAATCCCGAACCATTTCGTTGCCCATCCTTTCTGCAGCCTGCCATTATTACCGATTCCTTTAGGGTGCGTTGATTCTTTGCGTCAGCATAGGGCAGGGGTTTTAGCGATAGGAAAGTACAGATTCGTCCTCGGCGACTGCCCTCAAAACGCCACGTGGGTAGCCATACTTTCCTAGTCCCTCAGAACGCTGGCATGCGCTCAAAACGCTAGATCGATAGCTATACTTCCTAGTCGGTCGGAGTGCTGCTTACGCTGTACAACACGCTGCCGTACGCTGAAACGCAGAACGCTCTCTGAAGCAAAGTATGAACGCAGTCTCACTCTAGTGCATCGCTTCGCTAGTATTCTCCTTCATTGTTCCATGCGCAGAAAGCGAGTTCATTCCTAAGACCGCTTCATCTTAGAGCAGGTATGGGCAATTCGAATAAAGGCTTATTGACAAGAAAATGAGCAATTGGACGACGGACGAAAGCATTGCGAATGATTCATTAACTACTAAGAAGAATCGAATAATTGGAAATATTCAGGGGGGAGGGGACAGTCGAAAGCCAAGAGTTGGAGGCAGCTTACGTTTCGTAAAATCGAGTTCGATACATTTTGAGAGAAACAGTGATGAAAAATGGAAAAGAATTGTGAGGGTTGAAGTTGTAAATCGTCCGACAAGGTGGTGATGAACCGGGTCATCTGTCAAATAATGTGTTTTATGTTCCAACTACACGCATATCTATACAACATATGAAGTTGAATTATGCAATTCCATTGCAAAACTCATGCTGGAAATCGAAGTAGCGCGAACTTTTTGCATAACCTAATAAGTTGGATGTCGCGATGATCAAGTTGCGTGAGAATATTTCATGTGGCCGCCGGTTACGATATAGGTATGCTTGTAAAGTGTATAAATATAGTGAGTGATCAGTAATCGATTCCAGAAAAAGCTCGACGAGTTCTCGCTCTGTGCGGATTTGCGTGACATTTCAACGGATCTCGAAGCTTCACATACCACTTGTCTTCATCGGGTCATTCAAAAAATTAGCCAAGCATTACAGGTTATTGTCGATGAAAAGGTACTGTCTAGATTTCCTTTTTGGCTGTATTCTGAAGATTTTTCAAGAACTGTTGTCATACTTTGCTTGGTAGCTCTCGATCGCATTTAATGCTCAGGAAATATTTTGGGTTGTATGTCGGTGCGCCGCAACCGTTATTGCCACCTAGGCCCCTGCACACCGTAGCCTGCTCCGGACTGTTCGTCAACATTAGCCTGTCTCTTCACTGATGAGACAGATTGCTCTTCTTCGG